AATGGAATAGCTAATCATAGTTTGAAAAATTCTTCGACATCTCAGCACGAAGTTTGAAACACTGTAAAGAACGAAACGACAATATACAGAAAACAATTCAGTATTCTAAGCCATATAAAAATGAAGGAATTACCAAAGCTGATGTATAAACTACGACAGCAGATGATAATAACAGTGCAGATAAACTACCTCTTCTTTTTAGTTTCTTTGACAGTGTCACGAGCATTCCGAGCAATGGACATTAAGCTAGATAAACTCAAAGAGTGCGAGTCGAAGGAACGCCTGTAAATTCAGGAAAACATTTTTTCCAATTAGTTTAGCAAAAACCTCGATCGACTCCCTATCGGTGAGCGCAAATTATTTTCGCAGTTGTGTAAATTCACGCGGTAAAAAATGTGAGGACACTTCATCTTCAGCTTTTCTTCAAAATTTGCGAAACACCAACGAAAGAAACCACTTCCCACTTTTTTTTTGCTCAAGCCTGAATGCATGTAACCTTCAGGCAAATTACTACTTACTTATTAACTGCAGAATAAATTTTCTACAAGCTTCACAAATAGGGCTTAAAACATAGTCATCCCCAGACGTAAAGTTTAATAATTCTCTGCCAGCAAAGGACACAATCCAATTCAGCGTCATTTTGTTCAAATCTTATCGCTCCACTCAACTCCACCCCCTGCCAAAATAAAATTTGATGAAAATCTGAAAACTAGTTCCTTAATTCACGAAGACGACAACCTGATCTACAAACCAATTTTATTGTTTTAAACACTAAACCAAAGAAACTCTTGGCCAGTTTAATGAAAAAGGTACCGCAGCTTGTGATCTCCAACCACCAATTCAATATTCATGTAAAAATAACTAAAATATACCGTGAAGAAGGTGCATGCGTGATAGGAGCTGGCTCTGGAAGGGTAGGGGACGCAGCCACGCTAGCTGCGGTAGGCGAAAATAACGTAACTAGTATGAACAACCTAAAAAAACAATTTTTTTGAAATAAACAGTACCAATTCAGAGAATCATTTACTTGCATCCTCAGCCTTCGTCCTTAACTTAACAGATCCTACTTAGAAAAATCTTGTAGCTTCATTAAAGAATAAATCATAAGCGTTTTTTTTAAATAAAAGTTTCGGTACGCATTTTCTTCCTCATTCACCAAATTT